AAAAAAAAAAAAAAACCAGGTACAGGGCTGTGACGAGTGCATACTACAGAGGGGCTGTGGGGGCCATGCTGGTTTACGACATAACCAAAAGGCAGACGTTCGAGCACATTCCTCGCTGGCTGGAAGAGCTTCGTTCCCATGCAGACAAGAACATTGTAATCATCCTGGTCGGCAACAAATCCGACCTTGGAGACAACCGGGTGGTCTCCACGGAGGACGCCAAGGAGTTTGCTCAGAAAGAGGGTCTGTTCTTCCTCGAGACCTCGGCCCTGGAGGCCGTGAATGTGGAGGATGCATTCCTTACAGTGCTGACCGAGATTTTCAACATTGTGAACAAGAAAAGCCTTGCTGCTAGCGAGGGTGAGGGCAGCAATGGTAATCCAGCTTCTTTAGCTGGCAAGAAAATTTTGATCCCGGGTCCGGGTCAGGTGATCCCGGAGAAGAAAATGTGCTGTAGTTCATCTTGATTTTTTTATTTTTTTTTTGGGGTCTTTTACTTCTTATAGAGTAAATGCTTGAATTTTCGTGGGCCTAGTATGATTCTTTGAACGAGTGGTATTCTCGTGTAAATCGTGTTAAATTATTTGTTATACTGGTTTTGAATTTTGAGTGAAGGGATTAAATTCTTAAATTATGGTTTTGATTTTGGAGGAACAGACAGTTTACTGAATTTGTTTTATAATTAATTTATTATCACAAGTCATTTGTTTTTTTTTTTTTTTTTAGTTGCTTACTCCGTACCTTTTTAGCAACAATATCTGGACCTCAGAGCACTCACAATGTAATGGGTCTAATTTTACATCTGTGTCATATAAATAGACTTAAGTTCTAAATGACATGGACAAACCCAAGTAAAAAAAACTCAAAAACTACTCAATGTAAAAATAAAATACTAGGTCTAGCATACATGTCAACCAATAAAAATGTTCTAATATGTTTCATTTATTAAAAGAAAACTTAAATGAGGATTAAATGATGAGTGCTTGGGTTTGTACTTGGGTCCAAAATAGACCCAAATATGGACTTTGTCTCTTTTTTTATTGCCACATAAGCTAGACTATGTCCACCTTTAATTGCATTGGGAGACATTTTTTAATAGACCAAGTCTATTTCCTATGTGGCATAAGACATTTTATTAAGAGACTCAATGCATTGTGGGTGCTCTCATAAACAAAACAAATGAAAATGGGCTGCTTTGTCACCGGCCATACTGGTAGCACGACCGACCTTCTTGGGTCTGAATGCTCTGACGTAGAGGGATCGAATATATGAGGGAGGAACCCTCAATAGCTTTTCCTCCTTTGGAGGAAAAGAAATCACTTCTGTGGTGTTAGACCTTAGAGCGTCCACAATATTTTGGGTTCGATTTTGTTTACATGAGATGTAGACAGGCCCAGGTCTCATATGATATGGATAAAATTATATAAAACTAACACAATTTACTCCAATGCAATGAGATCGGTCTCTACTGAGTCCAAAATAAACTTAAGGGTAGATTGGAGTCTCTTTTTTTTTTTTACTGTTACATCAGCAGAACCCAGTCCACTTGCTTACAGTGGAGAATATATTTTTTAAGGTTGAATCTATTTCTTATGTGGCATGTAATTTATTTTAATGAACCAAAAGTATTATGGATGTTCAATAATGATTTGAGTCTAATTTTGCTTACATGGCAGGTAGATGAATCAAGTGACATAGATAGAATTATGTAAAAGTAACACAATTCACCCTAGTATAAGAGGCCGAGTATCTACCTGAGTCTAAAATATACTTAAGGGTAGACCGAGTTACTTTTTGTTACTACCGCCTACTAGCATTTGCATTGGATTATATATTTTTTTAGAGTGTGTCTATTTCCTTTGCATCATGTAAATTTATTTTGAATGAACCCAAAACATTATATGATCTTATGGGGCGCTCGGATATAAGGAGTTGGTATGACTAGCAGCAGGCACGTCCGACGATTAACTTCCGAGGTAGTCGAGGGGCCAACTACAAAAGTCTAGGAATGACAGGCGTAAGTAGACATGGTCACAGGTCACCCGGCTCGAATCCGGCCTGGACCCAATACGAGCCTAGCCCGATCAGAGCAGTTGACCATGTGTCTGGGCCCGTGTTTGGATTCAAACTAGGCCAGTTCAGGGTCATATATAGGTAACATATAACTCGGCGGGCAGAGACAGAGCCGGTTGGATTGAGCCGGCTCGATAAATCAACGGCCGATTTGTTTTCATTTTTTTTTAGGACGGGACCCGAATCCAGGTCGGGCACACCCCAACCCTAACCTAGATGCGGGCCGGTACATGATTGGTGATTTTGGACCCAGCGATCCGATACTGGGCCGCAATATGGTCATGTCAAGATGTAAACATGAATTCTGGGTATAAATGAAGCAAACAAACAAAAAAGACAAAGTTAACTAAAAGGGGAATAAAAACGTACCTTGTTACATCTAAAGAGATGTAATTAATATACGAAAGGGAGTCTGATTCAAAATCCTACTTGTGATACTTGGAAAATCGCCATTTGATAGCGATAAACAACTGACATATTCGAGCTCATCTAGAAAACTATAACTTATCTATAAATATATAATTTGGCAAGACAAGCATTTAATTTTATTGTGATGCATTTAATTATATTTTCCCTCCATTTTTTTCAGCATTTAATTATATTTTTCACTTCCCTCCAATGCATTTAATTATATTATTTCACTTCCCTCCTAAATCTAATACAAATGTTATACTATTTTTTTTTTTTTCTTATTTTTAATTCTTTTTGTTATCACACATAATCAATAATTAAATGTACTTTTCACCTAAATTTTTCTTTTATATTAAAACAATTATCCTTTATTTTTCAAGTAAATTACATCATCAAATCATGAACTTTATTTGAATTATATGACAAATCATGTAAACATTGATATAATCATTTCAGTTGCAAATACTCAAAAAATATGATTATTTACAAAATTTGATATTTAAATTGAAGAAAATATTAATCTCCAATCTGCTCCTGCTATTGTACCTGCAAAATAACAGTAAAAAAATTAATTATTAAATATATATATATATATATAATTACTAGCTAATCTTATTTAATAAAACATTTAATAAAAATATTTTCACTTTCCCTCCAAAAAGAGTTACATATTTTAAATTAATTACCCATTAATCCCACATTTAAGAAAGTTTTTTTAGTTAAATCTAATTAGTTAATGGCTAAATAAAAAATGTTTCTTTTAGTTAATCCCACATTTATGTATCTTATTTTCATTTATATATATTAATGTGGCAATCATTATTGTTGTGCAGAAACTATATATTATTATTTTATATTCCATTATGAATTGAATAAGCAATTAAAGTTAAAATAAATATTAATAAATGTAATAAATACAAACATTATAATACAGATCATGTTACATTACAATATAGCAAAGTCTATATTGTCAATATTATCATTTAAAAAGTTCACTATAAAAACATATGTATAAAATAAATTCATATGATCATAATTAATAGAGCAAAATTAACTATCTTTGACTTTCCATTTGGTAGTAATAATAAATATTTTATATTACTACTATTCAATAAAATGCATGATATCTGCAGATTTGATTATCGCAATCAACATTCTATTTTATAAATTAAAAAGTGTGCTGAATAAATTGTCTCATATTTTTCATTAAAAAGATTTGTTGGCCTTAAAAAAATATTATTTAACAATTATAAATATAAATATGATTAATTTTCATTAAACAATTCCTCTTTAAAAACTAAAGTGGCGGGACAAATATCTGCATGATTATAGCATCAAAACATATCAAAAACATCAATATTTTAATGTATTAAAAACCATACTTTCAGCAACATAAAAGTCATATTAGACGGAAATTGGCAAAGTCAAAGAATGAGGATTGACAAGGCATTGTATGTCATGCCATTGTCTGTAATTGCAGATTGTTTGTATAATATAGAAATATCAAGCATAATTAATAATCAACAAAAAAAGTCAAATCTATATGAAAAAAAAAAATCAAAATTAAAAACACAACAAATTATGTGTAACATTATTGGATATTATATAATATAGAAAGAAAAATAATTTGATTTCCTATCATTATCAACACATTCAACTTTTACCAAGACATCTGCCTTTATATTAAAATCGATTTTTTGCGTAAAAGTTTTAAAAATAAAAATTACTACAGGTTCTTTTAAACATTAAACAAGAAATTCCTAATATGCGATAAATATATCTAAACAGATTTGGTATAAACTTACCTAATATTTCCAAATTTTGAACAAAATACTAAAAACTTTGAAAAACTTCAGCAAAAGACTTTGAACAACTTCGAAAAGCGATTTTGAACAAGTGTTAGCAAAGTTTCACTTACTGATATGATGAGAAAGACGAAAAAGAATTGAACTATTTAGTGTTCAAAATATGAACAAAATACATATAAGTTACATATGTATGTTATAATCAGAGATGAACAGATATGTTATAAGCTTACCTATATATTTGTTAGTAGAAATGAACAGATCTGTTAGAAACTTACCTATTTTCAAACCCTGGACAAAATACATAAAAGTTTGAAAATATTCGACCAATGTCATGTTCTCTTCGAAAAACGATTTTGAAAAACATCTAAATATTTTTAATTATGTATAAGATATGATATATCTTTGAAGCTTATTCAAAAAGAATTTCGAAAAACGACACAAATCATTGAAAATAATAAAAAATTAAAAATATGTTTAACAAAAAATATTTCAGCTCTTCATAGATTTGTAATATTATCTCCCCATTTTGACCGACATGTTAAGATTTAGCAACACATATTAAGAAATTGATACGAATATTTATTTTTCGATCACTACTGTTAGCCACAAAAACAACATTTTTCGTTTTTTTTTTTTAATCCATTACTAGGAGAAAATCTCCGGTAAAACATTTGTTTTGTATTGAATCTCGCCGAGTTTGTCGTAAGATCGGGTTAAGGATTAGGATTTCAGACAAAGATAATAACGAAATAAGTGCCGACATCAAACAAAAAAATTGACTTACATCACTCAAGGAGTTTCTCTATTCATAGTCATGTTATCAT